ATATATATATATATATGCATATATATATATGTTATATATATAAATATATGTATATGTATACGTATATAATATACATATATAATACGTATATAATATATGTATATGTATATGTATATGTACTTTGGTTACATGCGCGCATGTGTGGTGTGTGTATGTGTGTGTATATAATTTCATGTCAAAGTATATATCATACATATATATACATAATATATTCATATATATATATATATTTCAAAATTTATAATAAACATATTTATATATTTTTTATAAATGTAAATAAATTTTCGTTTTAAGTACATAGCACTGTCAAGCCGGTATAACAAATATTTTAACCTCTAAAAATTCGAATTTTAACACTTAATAATTTGTTTCGTGAGATAAACCGCCGTGTTTTCCTGCCGGATTCTTTCGTTTTGAATGAAAACACGTCGAATGAATACATTAATAAAATTTGAGGTGAGACTATTCTAGATAATTACCAAATATTTCCTTTATCTCAGAATTTAATAAATTAATTTTTATTTCGATTCCTTTTTGCATAAAAACAGACTTGAAAAGAAAAAAAAATAATCGTTCGGCATTGCGAAAGTTAATAATTAGACTTTAATTTTTTTTTTTTTTTTCCCTCCGGTTGGAGGATGTCGGATATTTCCGATTGTGTGTCTTCAACCCTAAGGTTATATGACAGATTTATCTGATTCCTTTTTAAGTTTCTCTGTAAGTTGACGTTTTGAAGGTTAAAAAATCTGTCATACCGACATATCACTCTTTGTTCTTCTTCCTTTTATTAACATTTACTTTTAATATAGCCAGACACTGATATAGTACTCAATGCTTGCATTTTCAAAATCATTTTATCCTTATTAATTGGCTATATTACTTTATCCTCGTTATTCGTCTATATTCGTCAATATTATACAAATCAAAGATAAAACGATCATGGAGATAAGAAATAATAGGAGAAAGGATATCTCTCTGACTGCATTTCGATATTCACTGCGAGTATTAAAAATCTATAATATACGTGACCTAAACTATATGTATATTTTCAGTATAGTATATTTTCTGGTAGTGAATATCGGAACGCGGTGTTCTTGGCTGACGTAAGGGAAAAGGAGAGGGACCGATAGCACACAACGCTGATTGACCAATTATAAAATCTTCTGATTGGTGAGCATTGGAAAATTCCTAAACAGGTTGATGTATGTGGAATTATATGCAACGGATGTTTTATGCCATGTCCACAATTATTTTAACAGTTCCCCCGACGAATGATCAATCGAAGGGAGATACATTGTTAAATATTTGAGGTGAAGAAAACGAAGACTTTTTCAATTTTTTTATTTAGTCTTAAATTTTTTCAGAACATGTTAAATTTTTAAATCAAGATAATATGAGGTATTTCAGTTTGATATTTTCTTGCTGGTGTTAATAAATTATTTTAATACATTATTAATATGTTTATAGCTCGATTATTCTTAAGGTCTTTTGGATCGATTTTTTTTTAATAATATATTTTAATTTATAAAAAATCCCTATTTGCTCTTTTTATATATTTCTGAAAATTGTGTTTTCTAACGAAATTCAAATTGTCAAAATTGAATTTTGTATAAAATTTTTTATTTATCTAAAAATTATAAAAGCGAAGATAATAATTAATAGTATTTATAGATTTGAATTAAATTGCAATGAATATTATAGTTTGTAATATCTGTTTTAAATAAAACTATTTTTATTAACTATTTTTAAATCTTTAATTAATTATAATTAAATTTGAAGAATTAAGTCCAAAAAATATTTCATATTTTTTACTAAACTATCTTTTTAAATAAATTTTTGATTGCTTAAGATGTATTTATGTTATTTTCGCTGTAAGTCCAGGGAAGTTCTTCGTTAAATTTGCTTTGATGAACTGCGTTCCTTGCTGCATATAATCGCTAAAAATTAAACATAAAAAAACAACTCTGATTTATAAGTACTATTTACATTATAGTGAACTTAAATTATGAAAAAGAAAAAAAAATAATTTTAAATTTTTACTTACAACGTTATCGATATAGGCTTCGCAACCATAACACCAAACAGAGATATCACTGAAGCTAAGTGCGATGGGATGCTCATTCTCATCTGCATGCTGCATTGCATGCTGATTAACATTACGAGCGCAGTGTACAGTATAACATTGCAAACAGATCCAATTCTCTATCGTGCTGGAGCATTCCGTACAAGGTAAAGTTACATCAATTCCACTCTGGGGAACATCATTGACCATAAACAAATGTGGACAATCTCGTAAGGGCACGATTGCAAACATTTCTCCTGCTGTCAGAGCCTGTCCAGCAAAAAATACCGTCATTATGGTTATTTATATATTTGCATGTAAAATAATAAAATAATAAATATTTAATTATCAAAGATTATTGTGATGAGAGATCAGAAAGATTTGCATAAAATATTTTGTATCATATATGTTTTATCATCATATATGTTTTACCTGAAGATTATCAGAGAGATATTCCGAAAGAGTTGTGGATCGTGTCTCACGTTGTAGAGACGTTGCATTCTCATCGTCGCGATCCTCGCGTATATTAGAATTTTCTTGCTGACTTCCTCTTGGTTGATTCGTTTCATTTACACATTTTTGTATATTTTGTGAAACTGCAAATAAAATACCTCATCAGTTATTTTAAAATGATTATTTCTGAAATCAATTAAGACTCCTGACTATTCAACCAAGAAGACTATTCAATCCGCGTTGACGGTGGCGACACAGCATTATAGTACAAACTAGAAGTTTATTCATCTTTGTTTACCTTGAAATTTTTTATTACATTTAATTTCATTATTATGCAGATATGACTTATCTCATACTTATCAAATTCATAAAAATGGATGGCAACTAAAATTACCTTTGAATTTTATATACAAGATTTATATATAAAAACATATTTTTATTTTTTTCAATAGCTGTCATAGCAAACCATGTTTTTCTGTCTGAATAAACTTCATTTCACATATCTTTTACGGCTGTTAATTATCAACAAGAAGAAAAAGAATAGTAGCCGTCTATTTTCAACAAATATCAAGTATCTTAAAGTCATCTCAAGTGTAATTTTAGTCAAATATATCTTTATTTGCAAATTATGTGCAATAAATTTTACTATCATTTCTCGCTTATGATGTCACAATTCCAACATGTCCGCACCGACTAGTCAAGCGCCTTAAAGAATTAATTTCGAAAATTAATAACTTTGATGTACATACCATCTAAACTCTTTATCAATCCAGGATTTTTTCTCGTCTCGATCGCTTCGATTTCCATCGTTTTTTGAAGTTCAAAATTTTTAATTTTAATATTCTCCACTTCACATGTTAGTTTCGAAATCTCTTCATCCGTTACTAGATTTAAGCTGTTTTTATCAATTGTTAGATTTAACTCCAGTTTCTCACTTTCAATTCCTTCTAAAGCGATTTTCGATTCTGTTTTTTTGGTTTATCTATATTTTTCCATGCACTTCGAGTTTACTAGGAATTGTCTTAAGTTTGGGAAGTATTCTTTCCTTTGGTAAAGACATTCCATATTGCAGATTGGGCCAGAATTTTTTATGGGTCTTCAATACATTATTAATGGAATTAATCGCACTGGTACAAGGAACAAGATTAGGATCCAGCATTGGCAAAGGATCACCTAGGAGAGCTTTTGTACACATGGTCATCGCATGGGAAATAGAATTGATATTGTAGCCTCCTTCAAGACTAAGGATGACACGACCACTAGCCAAGGATGATAGCCAATGAGTTAAATGACCATAAAGTTCCGGACTTACAAGACAACCTGACAAAAAGTAAAAATATTTGACATTAATATTTTTATATTAATTATTCATGTATATATAAAGTAGGGAATTTAAAAAAAACATTTAAATATCTTCTAAATATATTTCAATATATAAAAAATTTATGATTACAAAAGTTGTTTAGTCTAAAGAAGGAAATATAATGGAAAAATAATTTTTCTGAAGGTCAATATTTTTTTATTTCTAAATGTCATCTATATTTTCTCATCTATATTTTCTTATATGAACCATTTGAATTTTTTACACATATCGATTTTTTTTTTCATAAAAATTTTCAAATATTAACGAAGGATTATTAATTTATGTGATAATTTATATTATATTATATTATATTTTATTCTAGCATATTTTGAAATAAAATAAAAAATATCTCATAAACTGTTATTCGATAATAGTATCTTAATATTTATATACATAAAATAATGAGACAAATCAATTGATATAAAAACACATTTTGTATATGTGTGTACGTGCGTGTGTGTATGCAAGATATCTAATAATTAATGATACAATATTTATATGTAGAGCGAATTAAATTGAGTAGAAAAAGCTATACTATTTTGCGATTTTTGCATTAGTAATGAGTTATTAATTAATAAAAATATGCGAATACGCACATATCTAACTTATTGACAAATAATTGCGAAAATTGCAAATGGTAAAAAACTCTTATATTTTATCTAATCGTTTACCTGCATACAAGCAATATGTCATCAACTATGAGAGAGATTATGTATCAAGAGACGTTGGAGTGTCTTGTGTCAAGTGTGTACGGCACACAAAAATAAAACCCGCAGTTTTCTTTCTGTAAATTGATTAGTTGCGAGTATCTAAGATTATCGGATTCCAAAAACGGTTGGATCGATTAAATTTTTAATATATTTAATCAATAGCTTGAATTCGAATTACATTAGTGAAATTCCTTTATTTTTCTTTCTACCTGCTTTATAGATGTTTTTTTCTACCATGCTTATGGGCATATAACAATATGAAATTAAACTGCTAATAAATTTCTTATTAAAAAACGGCCATTATCGTCGTATGATTGCTTTTGTATCGATATTAGGACTGCCGGACTGCGATCCGATTCACGTTTACAGCAGTTCGTGAGCATCATTTGTTTTTATTTAACATCTGATAAACAACAAAAATGAAATGATTCACGCTATGAACATGAATAAAATGGCTTTATGATGACTGGTAATCCTCAATTTTCTGATTAATTATAAATACATATTCATATCTCCACAGACATTCAAAGTCTCAGACTTTTATACATTGCACCTTCACACTCCTACGTCCACATAATTTCACACAATCATGCATTTTTGCATCCACACATTTACACGAATACATCTACATATCCGCCATCTAACATTTTACTAGATATATACTTCTAGATCGAGTTGTAATAGAAGAGTTTTCTACCATTTTGCGATTTTTGTAATAATTAATGATATAAATAAAAATGAAAAGATCAATAAACGAGCAAAGCTCGTCATAAGTTGTCTAATTATTAAAATATGTATGTATTTAATGCATTTTAATGATAAGACAACGATTCGAATTTACCAAGTTTCTTTCAGCTGCTGATATATAAATTTAATAAATATAAATCAATAAATAATAATGAAAAATTTATATAAAATAGATTAGTATAACACAAAATGAAAGTCATCGTCATTACAATGAAAAAGCTAAAAAAAATCGATACAATAAATAACGTTGGTGATTAAAAAAATTGTATTAAAATTATAAATAAAGAGTCCATCATTGATTCATCATTCCATTACAAAAATTAATTAAATCTGTTATTAAAACACTGTATTATTGTGCGTAATTAACGTGTAAAAATATATGTTTAATCTAATGGGAAATAAACAATAATGCAGTCATAAATCAGGATCGAGAAAAAATCATAGAATATGAATAGCTTTTCTGATCAATGTTTTCCGAATAAGCGGGTAGTGTTTAGAAATGTGATCTACAAAGATAGAGCATCCGTTTCTAATGCAAATTTCTAAATGTCTTAGCAACCGTGAATGCTGGACTGTTCATGTGGACGCACATTTATTCACAGATTCTTTAAAATTAGTATCTTTAAAAATTAGTATCTTATCAACTATTGTGAGAAAATTGAAAATGACAAAAAACTTTTCTATTCAGTGTAACCTACTTTACTTACGCACGATTTAAATTTAAAAAAATTTAATCATTGTTAATAATCTAATATTTGTTCATAATATGAATTTTATTTGTTAGTTTTCTATTAACAAAGAATTAGAATTACAAAGAATCAAGTAACTAAAATTTTTTTAATTACTCAAGATTAAAGTCGGCTAATCGCTTTTGTAAATAAACATCTTTTTAATAAATAAGTTTTTTCATATTAATGTTTATATTTTTTATATTTTTATATATGTAAATCATAAATACAACAATAAACCTTAATGCGTATTAAAATATATTTACCTCCAAGTGTATCACCAATACAAGCGTCAAATCCAGCAGAAACCAAAACTAGTTCTGGATTAAACTGATAAGCTATAGGCATCACAACTTGTTGGAAAGCTGCTATATATTCAGCATCTCCCATTCCTTTCTGTAATCGTAATAAAAACAATAATAATGTAATAAAAGAAAATAATAAACAATACATAATTTTAAACCGTTTATTGCAATTAAATATGTATATATACGCGCGCGCGCGCAAAATACCATAAACATATACTATTTATTTACCTTATTCCAAGGTATATTCACGTTGAATCCCTCGCCTGCATTTAAGCCAACGCTTGTATAATTAGCGAATTTGGAATTTGGAAAAAAATTTCCATTATCGTAACGATGAACGGAAATGTAAAGAACTCTTGGATCTTCCTCG